CTTTGCATTGTGCACATTGACATCTTGTGAATGTTGCATCTATGCTGCCAGTTGTTGCCATTTTCATCATTGCTAGATCTTAGGCTCTCGGTGCATTTCACTTCCTAATATGCTTCACTCTTCAAGGACCCTGCACTGAACGTGAAAGCTACTATTCCTCCTCATGTTCCCACTCTCAAGCACACACACCGAAGTGACCTAAAGTACTTTCTGTACAAACGCCCGCCCGTGGGCGTTATCCTACAGAAAAAGAACAAGTATCACCCAACAAGAATCACCCACTAGAGGATGGCCACACAATCTCTCCTACTACGTCGTCGGCTATGGTCGTCTTTGCCATTGATCGCTTCTCTCCCACAGCACTCTGCGGTGTCTGCGAAGTTTCACAAACTGGCTCCACACCAACTGAACCCTTGAAATGACGAATGCGGGTGTTTTGTTTCCCGGGGCGCTTGCCCCGTTGCGCCGGAATCCTCAAGATACTTGTTGGGGACACACTTACCGCGCGAGTCATTGTGGTACTGACCAGTGACCAGTGACCTACGCTAAGTCGAAAGAGAGACGCTTTAGGCGCGATTAGCCAAACAGGAGATGCATCAAACTTGATATTCGATCGGAAATCATGAACAATGGAAGATAAAAGAGTATTTTGTGACGGACGAATCATGGACGCTTGATCTCGAGATTCGTTCGAGGCCTGAGCTTCTCAACAAGGTGTAAAAGTCGAGGTTTGAAGATGCTCAGGACAAAATAATTCTGCGGGGATCGATCACGATCATTAGTCTGCTGAATTCTTACGTCAGTTGAGTTCAGACTCAGTCGGCTGACGGTGGATGAACTTAGTATCTCTTTATCTTGGGTCCGCTAAGTACGGATCATCTCCAGATCTAGAGTCTGCTGAGTGCAGAGTGTGTGCTGAGTGTGGATGAACTCAGCAACTTAGAGCTTGAGTCTGCTGAGTATAAACTTCAAGTACTTCAAGCTAAGACTGTAGAGTCTGGAGTCTGTTGAGTTCAGACTATGTCTATGGAGTGTGGATAAACTTCGACAAATGTGTCCTCTGGGTATCAACAAAAAAAATTCCCAGAATTAAATATTCATTCTATAGTAAAATTTCATTCTAAATTTCAAATTTTCATTCCATCTTAAAATATGTCATTCCAATTTTAATTTTTTTCGTCTTACTTGAGAACTTTTCTTCCAATAATGGGGTATCTCTGCTTATTTGAACTGCATGCTAGAGATGGAATGAAAGTCTGGAGAAGTTCACAAAATATTTTAATTGGACTGTCGATCTAAGTAAGGATTTTCAGTCATCAATAGGTTAATCCAATCTAAATTAGAAAATATTTGTTGTAGTAGAATGAAAGTTTAATTAAAAGATTTCATTAACTCGTCTAGACTTTTATTCTATCTTGAACAAATAGATGAAGTTGGAAGGGAAAGCTCATATTTAGATAAGAACTTATCAAATAAAACTGAAAATTTTAAAATTTGACAAACATTGGAATGATAATTTAGTAATATGAAGGATTTTTTTTTTATAGAATGTTTTTTCGACTTCCATTTCGCGCGGGAATTTTTCCATTGATGGATCTCATCAACTCAAATATTGAGTCTGCTTAGTATAAAGTACTACGATTTGTCTTTGCTGCTCTGGAGAGTCGTGAGTCCATTGAGTGTGGATACAGAGGAGCTCACGATTTTGAGTCTGCTGTGTACAAACTGTTTGCTCAGTGTGGATGAACTCGGCAACTTGAATCTTAAGTCTCCTGAGTAGAAACTAGCTCAAGATTTTGAGTCTTCTCACTTAAACCACCAGTACTTGGCCCAGCTATCGATGCCGAGACTGAAAATGCTATGCGCGCTGTTTCGCGCTGACCCGCCAGCGAAACAAAAAATAATTGTTTTGGCTGGCGGTGTCAGCCTTTCAGGTCCAGTACCCCGGGGCTCCGAAACTTGCGGGGAATTAATAATATTACATTCACAGATATGGAATGTACGTCATAACCGAGGAACTGCAATGTGATGAAAAGGATTGAACGAACAATACAGTGCGAGTAGAATCTCGACAGACAATGTGCATTCTCATACATACAAAAGGTGCTGAATAGCGCAAGGAAGACTTTGATACAAAGACTGATCTGACAGGACTGACCTCATTCACGTAGTTCAGAGTAGCGAAGCAGAATGCTGGAGTACTACTAACTAGCCCAATCAATGTTTGAACTCTGACTAAACATGCATGGTATCCATCACCAAGTGTGAAGGAGCCTGACGCTGTACACAGAAAGAAAGCGCCAGGTCCAGACATACACAGACGAAGAGATAAGGATCAGACGAAAGGAGGGAGAAGGATGGGAATGTCGTTAACACCAAGTCTTGGTCACCAATCCCAAATAGTCCCTCGTTGCCATGTCTGAACCCCCAAAAGTCCAATCTCTGTATCTCTTCTGTCATAGTCTGCATATGCAGTGAAGTCAGAAGTTGAGAGGGAGAGAAGAGATGGTGGACTGAGAAGGGGAAGAAGAAGAACTCTCTCTCTCTCTTTGTTATGAACTAGATACTAACTTATGATGTTGACGCTGTGTTGCAGGTACCTCGAAGACGAAGCTGGAGCAACGGCGCTGCAGGTAGGTACCTTGGGCCTCCGCCCAAGCTCTCTCTCTCTCTCTAGTACTACCTAGCTATGGCGCCCAGCGCTGGAGACWACARCYACCTACTSCGCCCAGCGCTGAAGGCTACTAGCTAACGCTACAACTACTACTACGCAGCGCTCCCTCCAGAGTGCTGCTCCCGAAACCTGAAGACTACAACTGCCGACTGCCTACCTCGGAAGTGCCTGGGAAGTCCTATGTACTACCTCGGCCTGCCTCCTGACTACTGGAGGCCAGCGAGGCCGAGGAGGCAGCTTTTGCCAATGCCGAAGTGTGCCAGGGGCTGGCGTGCAGCAGCCTGCTTGAGGCTGGCGTGGGAAACACACTATTAATAGTCTGTTCCCGAAACCCTGGTTCGGTGCCTGAGTTTCAGGGCCGGTCGTTCTGATGAACGACGGAAAATGGCCCTTCGTTTTAGGCTAAAACTGTTGTTGCCATTTTTAGTCTGAAACGACACAGGGACAGACCCTGGAATTCAGGCTTTCGGCCTAAATCGACAGGGGGCCTGTAAGCCCTGGATTTCTGGCTTTCGGCCTGAAATTCAGGCTTTCGGCCTGAAGTTCAGGCTTTTAGCCTTAACGGACGCAGGCCTGCAAAATGGCCTGCGTGTCCACGCGCAGCATGTAACCCCCCCCCCCCCTTATGAAATCAAGCCGGGGCAAGGGCGAGGCCGTCGATCTGAAGGTGGAACCTGGACGCGGGCGCGGCAGGGAGCCGAAGAAACTGGCTTGCCTTGCATCTTGCGTTCGTTGCGTGCGAGAACGTCCGGAGCTGTTGCTTGAAGTTCCGCACGGGTTAACCAACGGTCAGCTCGGTGTGTGTAGTATGCAAAATGCACTAAATACTCGGTTGGCTTGTTGCCAAAGCGTCGCAGGGAGATGATGTCGCCGACCTCCTAAAAACCATCCATAGAAGGTGGGTCTTGCGTACGTCTCCCGGGAAAGTCGTCATGATCCGCTGGAGTGTAGAGAGTCAGTTTGGAGCAATGAAAGACTGGGCATACAGGCAAGTGGCTAGGCACCTGAATCGTGAAGGAGGGTCCTTAGGGTGCGTCCCCAGCGAGCTCTATGATCGGCCAAGGCCCCATCCATTTCGGAAGGAGCTTGCGAGAGACGTCTTGTTCAAGGCTGAATTCCGCTGCGGAAACCCAGATGAGGTCCCCGGCGCGGAATGGACAAGGAAGACGCTGGCGATTGGCCTGCTGGCTCATGCGCTGCTGCGTCTTTGCCATCTGGTCGCGTGCCTTGACAAGAAGCTCTTGCATCCGACGCAAGAAATGAAGATGGTCGTCGCTCTCGGCCGTGCGTGGAGTAATAGTGTCCAGCGGTGACGTGAACAGCGAGCCATGCTCGAACTCAAAGGGCGATATCTGAATAGCCGGGTGGATGGAAGAGTCGTAGGCCAACTCAATATCCGGCAGTCGCTCAACCCAGTCTTTCTGGTCGGGGCGGATGAGAGTGCGAAGGAGAACGTGTGCGGTCTGATGCGCCCTCTCCGTCTGGCCATCGGTCTGAGGGTGGCGAGTTGAACTAGGCTTGATATGAGCCCCATCGCTTGATGAGCGCCAACCAAAAATCAGACATGGAAATCGCTTCTCTTCGCCGCAACGGGACTGGCTTGATGAGCGCCAACCAAAAATCAGACATGTCAATCGCNAGCGCCAACCAAAAATCAGACATGGAAATCGCTTCTCTTCGCCGCAACGGGACTGGCTTGATGAGCGCCAACCAAAAATCAGACATGTCAATCGCTTCCCTCCTTGGGATAACCCTTGGTGCGAATCCAACCGGCTTAAAGAACCTCGGCCAACTCCGGTGCCTTGGCATGATAGCGACAAGGCAAAAACATGGCGAACTTGGTGAGTCGGTCGACCACCGTGAGAATCCCATCCACTCCTGTCTTGTGCTTGGGGAACGGGCCGGTAATGTCCATGGCAATCGCTTCCCTTCGCCGCAACGGGACTGGCAATGGTCGTAACTCGCCGTCAGGACGATGGTTGCAGGATTTGCAGCGTCGGCAAACCTCGCATGACTCGCAATAGCGTGTGACGTCGCCGAGAAGGCCGGACCACCAAAATCGCTGGCGAAGTCGGGCAATCGTGCGATTGACTCCAAAATGTTCAGTAGCCGGAGCGTCGTGGAACTCGCCAAGAAGCTGTGTACGCAAGTGAGGATCACTCGGTACGCAAAGAAGGTCCTTCCCCTGCGTGTGGACAAGCAAGTACCCCTCTTGGATCCGGTAGTGAGAAGGAGCTGGATTAGGAGAGGATTAATTCGCGTACTTGTCGCGAAACTTGGGGTCGGCTTGGTAGCCGCGGATGAAGCTGTTCCGCAGGTCGTCGTCAATCTCGAAGGTCGAGTAGACTGCAGTACAATAATCCAGACGCCGTTAAAGAGCATCCGCAAAACGGTTCGACTTCCCGGGAATGTGATCGGGAAAGAAGTCGAACTGGTCAATGAAAGTCATCCATCGAGCGATAGTGTTGTTGACGGTGTCTTGAGTCTTGTAGAAGACCAACGGATTGTTGTTCGTTACCCATCGAAACGGGCTTCGACCAAGGAGGAAGTGCCGCCACCGCTTGAGCACGTGGTCGAAGGCGAGGAGCTTCTTCTTGCGTGCATCGTCAATGGAATGCACAAGAGACACTTTCTTGCTGAAGTATTCGACCGGGTGTCAGTCCACACCATCATGTTGCTCGAGGACTGCACCAATGCCATAGCCTGACGCATCCGTAGTGACACGTGTAGGCACGAGCGGGTCGTATATCCGTAAGACCTCCGCAGACAATAGCGCGGCTTTGAGAGCGAAGAATGATCCTCGTGCCTCCTCAGCTCTTGCTGGACAAATTTACACTTGTCGCGGTTGGCCTTGTACTTGGCGCGGCGGAGCGTCTCCAACACTTGTCGAAGATGCCCCAGATGATCCTCAAATGACCGGCTATAGACGAGAATATCGTCTAAGTAGACCAGCACGAACCGGTCCAACATTGCATGGAACTCATTGGACATCGCCGCCTGAAAGGTCGTCGGGGCGTTGGTGAGGCCAAAAGGCATGACCACCCACTCAAAATGCCCGTACCGCGTCTTGAACGAGGTCTTGACTCTTGTAGCGATCGTTCAGCTGGATTGAGATTTGATGATATCCCGGTTTCAAATCCAACCTAGAAAAATACTTCGCGCCGCCCAGCCGCTCGAGAAGATCGTCGATGCGAGGAAGGGGCCCCACATTCTTGACGGTGTGCGCGTTGAGCGTGCGGTAGTCGATACACAATCGTAGATCCTTGTTCTTCTTCCTGACGAAGAGAACGGGTGCTCCATATGGGGAGCTACTCGGGCGGATCCAGCCCTTGGCCAACAAATCATCGAGTTGTGCGCGGAGGACCTCAAGCTCCTCCTCGCTCATCTAATAGATGCAACCTTTCGCGGCACGACACCGGCTTCAAGAATGATCTCGTGAGAGATCGGCCGACCCGGCACCACACCGGTAGGTGACTCGAAGATGTCGGCAAACTCGTCCAGCAACCGTACCACACGGGGGTCCGAAGACAAGTCCGTGGGTGAAGAGTCGGCTACCGCGACGGTCCGTAGGAAACATAGGGCGATCCCCTCGGGGTGCTCGTAAACGCAAGTCGCCCGGAATGATTTGGCCGTCACTACTTGGCACCGGATCGAAGAGTGCGGTAGAGGAATAGTACACGCCACTTCCGCGTCGAAGGCGTCGCGAACGCTAAGAGTCAGCCGATGGAAGTTGACCGTGTGATCCGCACTTGCAAGCCAAGGCATTCCCAGAATGATGTCGAAGTTCGTGTCGAGAATATCGAATGTCACCCGTTCGCATGCATGAGGCGCGAAGTAGACCGGTACGGCCTCGATGTAACGGTCAAGAAGTTGTTGCGTCTTACCATCCGCCAACTTGATCGCCGTCGGGTTTGCCTTCCTCCGAACTTGTGCGCCAAGGCCAGCCCTTGGCATAAAAGACTGGTTCATGAAGTTGCGAGACACGCTGCTATCCAGCAAAGCGCTGCAGGACGCTTTCCCAACCTGAATGCGGACATACATGAGCGGTGTGTTGTTGTCATCGTACTGTTGTGTGCGAAACTCGCGGGCCACCTCGGTAGTATATGCCAGGATGTCCCCCACCGCGACTTCGTCATCCGTCGGCGAAGTTGGTGGTGCATAGAAGGATAGGTAAGTGTGACGATTAGCGCTAAGTGCTGCGCATTGCGGTCCTGGCAAGCAGCCTGTGGTCGGGAGAGGAAGCCATGCAAAGTCCTCAGACGTGAGCGGGTCTAATGCCTGTAAGTTGAACTCGCGTGTCGAATCCCGTGTAGAACCACTTGCAAATGATATGTCGCCATTACCGGACGGAGAAGAAACCGCACACACTCCTTGTCCTTGAGCTCGAGTACCCAGCGTAGGAGCGAGCCGGGCAGCATAGTCCTCAAAAGAAAGTAGAAGAGGAGGACTACCGATTTCGACGTGCGCCTCGGAATGAAGGCCGATTACTCGCGAAGAAACCGGTTCCGAAGGCGTCGAGAGTGTCGTCGAGTCACTCTTGGCGGTGCTCTGTTTCCCTGTCTGCCCTTGCCTTTCAATGGGCAACCCTGCGTCTGATGAAGATCGTTGTTGCACCAAAGGCAATAGTGGAATCTCTCGCGCGCCTTCAATGCGGACTCGGAGATGCCATACTGGGTCCATTGGCCTGTCTCAGCTGGTGCACCAGTCCCGGGGCTAGAAGCGGTGCGTGTCTTCGTCTTGCCCCGTCCTCGGCCTCTGCCAGGGCGGCCACCTTCCCGGGCGGCTGCGAATCTGTCTCCTTCACTCGCAGACACAACCTCGCTCGTTTGGTCTAACGGCGCTGCCGCTGCGACCACGGCCACTCTTGGCCAATGCTGGTCCCTGCTCGGGCCTGACGCAGATGAACGGAGGTTCTTGGCCTCCTTGTTCGTGATAATGATCTGCGCAGCCTTGTCGAACATATCCGCCGTCGTCGTCAAGGTGTCCTCGACATGAGTCAGGGCATTGCTTAATGCCGGACATGACCTTGAGATGCAGTAATGGCGGATGACCTTGAAGCCCATCTGGATGTCTGGGACTGACGTCAAGCGTTGGTACTCGGCGATCCAGTCCGTGCTCGGCAGCGTGCCTTGCTCGAAGACCATGAGTTTGTCCATGGCTTTGATCTCTGGAGGCTCCACCTGGAACCGCTTGTGCCATGCCGCCTTCAGATCATCCCAACTGATCTTGGTGTTTAAGTCGACCACTACCACTCTGTACTTGGACAGGAGGTTGTCCAACCAAGCCTGGCACGTGCCCCCTGAACGAGAGTACAAGTAGGCGTGATTCTTGTGGTCCTTGACGTTAGACAGCTGCAGCGTGAGCTTGAACTTGCGGAACCTTGAAATCGGATCTGTCTTCATGGAGTCGCAAAAGATCTCCTGCCCGTCAAACTTTGAAGTTCTCTCGCGCGGCTCCGTACTCGAGGTAGTGGCGGTGGTACAGACCTGCTGCTGCAACTGTTGCGTCGTGGTGAGCTGTAACTGTGCGCCATCCTGGAGTGACGTGCATCTCCAATGCATTGAGGCGGTCGGCAGTATTGGAAGAGCCTGCGTCGGCGGCGGCGACTGGTCGCTGCTCCAACCGCTGAAAACGGTCTTGGAGGTGAGCTTGCGATCTGTCGAGACCAAGGATTTCTGCCTACTGTGTAATGCAGGTTGCCAGGAGATCCGTGAGATGCGAGAGGAGGAGCGCTATCTTGTTTGCGCTATCCTCCAACTGGCTATTCTCGGCCTCGGTTCGCCATTCTGTTGCCATGGTAAGTAACGCCCGCTCTCCGATTAATATCTTATCACGACGCTGTGCTCTTCCTTCATCGGCAGCCCTTGCTGCTGCCTCGTCATGCTGACGCTGTTGTTCAACCACCCGCAGACGTGTGCGGGCCTGATAGACCTCATCCGCTTCTCCTGGCCTCTGGTCCATGACTGCTATTTGAGATCGCAACAGCATAGACCGGTCGGGGCCTGTTGATATGGTATCCTCTGCTGATGACGTGGTACTGCTGACGAGTCTTGCTGACGTGGCCTGCTGACGTGGTCTGCTGACGTGGCCTGCTGACATACTGACGTAGTCTGCTGACATGCCCTGCTGACGTGGTCTGCTGACGTGTCCTGCTGACGTAGTCTGCTGACGTGGCCTGCTGACGTGGCAACTCACCAATGCCGTCGCAGGGGGTACCCGGAGATGGATAGAGAAGGTAAGGCCCTGTCTCTTATACACATCTAGATGTGTATAAGAGACAGCTGCTGACGTGGTCTGATGACGTGGCCTGCTGACGTACAGACGTAGTCTGCTGACGTGGCCTGCTGACGTGGTCTGCTGACGTGGCCTGCTGACGTGGCAACTCACCAATGCCGCCGCAGGGAATACCTTGATACAAACAGAAAGAGAAAGGCGAGAGATGGCAGCAACATAGATGGGGAGGGGTGGATGGGATAGTCACCCAACTCACACTTAGATAAGGAGCCACTAATCAAAATAGGAAAGTTTGAATTTTGCAAAAAAAAATTCGAGAAAAATAAAAAAATAAAAATCCCGATTTTTGCAAGTTCGGTAGGTCTCCCAATTTCCCCTGAAGCACGAAATGATCACTGAAAGTGAAAAAAAAATCGACTTTAGACTGCCAATGATTTATAGAACTGAACAACACAATCCTACAACTGCGAAAAAAAATTCCGAACAGAAATGATACGTATTTGGATTTATTCCGATTCGCCGTTTGAAAAATAATAACGAAGGAGTCATTTCCCGTACCGTTTTCAGAAAAACGAATTTCAGAGAAGAAAATATTTCGAATTTCTAAGTAACGGGAATTGCAACAGGAAATCGAAACTTTCGAAAAGAAAAATATTCCGGATTTTCAACAGCGAAATTTGGGATTTTCATAAAGAAAACGAAAATGGGAATTTCAGATGTTGCGATATTGCGATTTTCCACTACAGGACAAAGAGAAAAAAAATCCGAGAAAAGAAAAAATTTCGATTTTCGGTAGTAAGGTCAAGATCGTGATTTTGGGGTCTAACTTGTATGTCCTAATCAATCAATAAAGACTAACTAGCATTTTAGTCCCCACACACGTGTCAGATCAGGTTGTCCTAATTCACGTGCAAAACTCCGATACCAACTGTTACATGCACAGATATGCAATATCCGTAATAACCGAGGAACTGCAATGTGATGAAAAGGACTGAATGGACAATACAGTGCGAGTAGAATCTCGACAAACAATGTGCATTCTCATACATACAAAAGGTGCTGAATAGCGCAGGGAAGACTTTGATACAAAGACTGACCTGACATAACTGACCTCATTCACGTAGTTCAGAGTAGCGAAGCAGAATGCTAGAGTACTACTAACTAGCCCAATCGATGTTTGAACTCAGACTAAACATGCATGGTATCCATCACCAAGTGTGAAGGAGCCTGGCGCTGTACACAAGAAGAAAGCGCCAGGTCCAGACATACACAGACGAAGAGATAAGGATTAGACAAAAGGAGGGGGAAGGATGGGAATGTCGTTAACACCAAGTCTTGGTCACCAATCCCAAATAGTCCCTCGTTGCCATGTCTGAACCCCCAAAAGTCGAGTCTGGATC